ATATTTTTTCGTTTGGGTTTGTATTATATTTGCCTTTGGGTTTATATGATCCGTTCATCCTATTTCGACTCTTCAAAATTCAAGAGTCTATCCTAAGTTGAGGTAAATTATATGGACTTCCAAATACCGTTTCGATTCCTAACATCACTGAAGAGACATTAATTGTCGAAATCCGGATATGGTGTACAAATTTTTGCACCTCATGTTTGCGGTATACCATCTTTTCTGCAAGTTAATTGTTTTCTGTTTGGTATTAAACTAATAATAAAGATCCATATTGTTACATCTTGTGATCAGTTTATTTGGCAATCGCCAATGGCAGTCAACAGGGTTTAAGAACATCCGTTGTTCGACCTGTTAGTCAAATACGTTTTGTTTAAATATAATTTTTAACTTTTTTGGTCTTTTGGAAAATGTTGTTTGTGCTGTATTTAGACCCCTCTACCAAGAAATTTGTTTTGCATGCACACGTATAAAAATTGCGGTTTTTATCCAACGCAATCATAGGTTTGAACTTTGTTTTCAATTTAGACATATATATATATAGATTGCCTAACAATGTAATTTTAACACACTATTTAGTATGTAAATATTAGAATGTTTAAAATATTTACAAAACGATAAAAATAAACGCAATATTTCGCTAGACAAACTAGCTTTACCTTATCAAGCGTGCATCTATCCAGGTGAAATCGGATGTAGATGATAAGAAACTTTTGCAGCTCAAAGTACATGTTGCATATGAATTTAGCTGCCTTGTAAATAATACATAATGTGGACGAAGTTCAAAATTATCATGGTACAAAATTGGTGGTTGAAGTTTGGCCATCTACTCAAATTCCAACTGTAAAACGGAGAACTCAATTTATATATTAACATGTAACACTTGTGGCATTCAGTATGTGGGAGCAACAATGGATAAATTCAATATTCGGCCCAATAACCATCGTTCATGGTACAAAACCAACAAAAACTATACTCTCACAAGACATCTTCGCTCAAAGAAACATCCTTTTGATAATGTTACTTTCCAAATCATAGAAGTCAACACCGAGTGGGACACCACGGCGAGAAGGAGAAGAGAAAACTTTTGGATCCACCAGCTCCACACTTTAGAACCGGATGGTCTTAACGAAAAAGACGAGAAGAGATACAGGAAAGATAAAGAATAATTTAATATACAGCATCGTCCTTTTTATCCTGTAATATTGGCCAATGGACGTTGCAAACTTCAACCACCAATTTTGAACATAATCTTGAACTTTATCCACATTATGTATTATTTACAAGGCAGCTAAATTCATGTGCAACATGTACATTGAGCTGCAAAAGTTTCTTATCATCTACATCCGATTTCACCTGGATAGATGAACGCTTGATAAAGCTAGTTTGTCTAGCGAAATATTGAGTTTATTTTTATCGTTTTGTAAATATTCTAAACATTCTAATATTTACATACTAAATCGTGTGTTAAAATTACATTGTTAGGGAATCTATAATTTTATTTGTGTAATTGCATTAATCTCTGTTCTGATTGATCCACACTCCCATAGATTTGTATGTCATGTGTTGCTATTTATAGGCACTTATATATATCGTCTAAACAACAGCCCAACAATGTTAGATCTGTAAATTTGCGGAAGCAAATTTTTTGTTCTTCCCTGGCCGGGATTCGAACTCATGCTACTGAGATATCGTGGCACCAAATCGCCTTGCACTATGCCCGACGCACTAGACCACTCGACCACCTAGGCTCTATAAATAATAAAGCTTTCGGTGGCCGGGTGTTACCTTTCCTCATCAGTTTTTATCTAGCGTCGTAACACAGTACATGATATATAAGGCATGAAGACGGAATTGTTACAGATCAGCTGAATTGTCTATTGTAAAGGATCCTTCAAATTAATGTAAGATGCAGTCACAGAAATAATTATATTATAAGTACGTCTGAACCAGTGACGACTCTACAACAGATGTATAAATATATATATAATTCGTCTCAAATTTAGCCCAACAATGTTAGATCTTCAAATTTTTGTTAGCAAATTTTGTTCTTCCCTCAGCGAGATTCGAACCCTTGCGTCTGTGACATCGTGGCAACACCGCCTGCACCGTGTTTTATTGTAAACAAAAACACAACATTTTTTTTCTGTTTAGAAAAAATAAGAATTCAAATGGAACTCATTTCAGTCTACTTGCAAATTTTGATCCAGAATTTAATAAATAAGATGAACTTGTTTTATTGTAAACAAAAATACAACATTTTTTTTCTGTTTAGAACAAATAAGAATTCAAATGGAACTCATTTCAGTCTACTTGCAAATTTTCTTTTCGTACTCTGCGGCGCTTCCGCCATGATTGTGACGTCACAGATTTTTAATATTGACCGTCAATATACGTATAAATAAAAACATAGCGTCAATATACTTAAAAATAGAAACAAGGCTTCAGATACATGAAATATTATTTGAAACACGTGATCGTAATATCCAACGAAAACAGGAGAATGCTACACCATATGTAATGGTACACTTTACAATTTGTACAAAATTTGACTAAAATTCACTTATAACTTGTACAATAATTTATAGTATGGATTTTGTTATAAAACTAGTCGCTCACCTGATTCTACTTTGGTTTTGGAAATCATGTTAAAATAGATTAAAATCATAACAGATACCCTAATAATGAGTGAGGCCAAATTAGCAACACTTCATCAGCACCTCATAAGAAACATTTATGCCATGTTTGGTTTCATTCCATTCAGTGCACCTCTAGAAGAAGCATTTGTATGTATTTCCAATAGGGTCTTATGTTAAAGAAAGGCCCCCCTCTGGCGGCCATCGTGAATGAAGGATCAGCTTCAAAGTAACAACACTTAGTCAGCACCTTATAAGGAACATTCATGCCATGTTTGGTATCATTCCATTAAGTGGTTCTTTAAAAGAAGACATTTGTATGTATTTCCCATAGGGTCCTATGTTAAACTAAGTCCCCCGCTGGTGGCCATCATGGATGATGGATCGGCTTCAAAGTAACAACACTTGGTCAGCACCTCATAAGGAACATTCATGCCATGTTTGGTTTTATTCCATTTAGTGGTTCTCTAAAAGAAGACATTTGTAAATATGTCTCATAGGGTCCTATGTTAAACTAAGTCCCCCGCAGGCGGCCATCTTGGATAATGGATCGGCTTCAAAGTTACATGACTTGGTCAGCACCTCATAAGGAACATTCATGCCATGTTTAGTTTCATTCCATTTAGTGGTTCTCTAAAAGAAGACATTTGTATGTATTTCCCATAGGGTCCTATGTTAAACTAAGTTCCCCGCTGGCGGCCATCTTGGTTGATGGATCGGCTTCAAAGTAACAACCCTTGGTCAGCACCTCATAAGGAACATTCATGCCATGTTTGGTTTCATTCCATTCAGTGGTTCTCTAAAAGAAGACATTTGTATGTATTTCCCATAGGGTCCTATGTTAAACTAAGTCCCCCGCTGACGGCCATCTTGGATGATGGATCGGCTTCAAAGTAACAACACTTGGTCAGCACCTCATAATGAACATTCATGCCATGTTTGGTTTAATTCCATTCAGTGGGTCTCTAGAAGAAGTTCAAAATGTAAAAAGTTAACGACGACGACGGACGACGACGACGGACGACGGACGCCAAGTGATGAGATAAAAAGCATTGATACGCACTATAGAATTTTAATTCAGACCACACAATAAACCTTTTTTACAAAATACAAAAATAGTTCTGTATCATTTGTTTGAGCACGTGAATGAATTATGGCATCGGGAATGGCACAACATCTTTTGCTTTTTAAATTTACATTTAGAAGTGCTGCACCCCATTTGCATTTACATGAAAGAAACTCACTGACCACCAGTTTTTGAAGGCTTTTTAACTGCTTCACGTAGCTAAAGTTGAAGCTCAGGAACCGTTCCTGCGAATAAAGCTGTGTCTTTAACACCTTCAATTTGATTTCTCGACAAATATCCTGTTAAAATTCCTACAGCTGTTCCAATTCGGTACCCAAATTCTCCAGATTCAATAATTACACCTAAGATATTTCAAGGATCAGTTGGGGCGCAATCTTACTGAGGAATTGGTATAATGACATTATCCCCCAGAGCAAGTTCTGATAATTTCCGTTTCGTTTTCTTGGTTAGATATTCGGCTTGGATCTGTTTGCCAGACAGCGCACGCTTCCTGGCACGTATAATTGGTGTTTCAACGTCAGTGTCATCCTGATTTTCACTCGGGCCAATTTCTAATATACTATCAGAATTGTCACTGAGACAAATTTTACTATTCTATCAGAATTGTCACTGGGGCCAATTTCTATTGTACTATCAGAATAGACTGGCATACATGTATCAATTACATTTCCTGTCTCCATCTGGGTATTTTTGTATTTTGTAAATAAGGTTTATTGTGTGGTCATTGAATGAAAATTCTATACTAAGTGTGTATCAATGCTTTTTTTATACAAAATCCATACTATAAATTATTGTACAAGTTATAAGTGAATTTTAGTCAAATTTTGTACAAATTGTAATTTGTACAAGCACTTTTTGTACAAATTACAATTTGTACAAAGTCAAAATACAAATTATAATTTGTACAATTTTTTTTGTACAAATTATAATTTGTACAAAATGATAACTTGTACACAACATATATATATTTACATAAAGCATAACGATGAGACAGACAATTACGTACGGCATAGTTTATATAAAATAAGGGAAACAGATAAAATGTATCAGCTTCAGAACATAATAGACATTCAAATGTGAAAAGATTTTCTTCACGACAATCTTATTCCAATCTTAGAAACCTGAACATCTTTTTTTTTTTTCATTTATCTATTCAATAAATATAAACCTTGAGCCAAACTCCGAATGAACCTTGGAGCATACAGTTGTAAATTGGTGGACTATGTGAGCCATCTTTTTCTTCCAAAAGTAGCACTTTTATTAAAAACTATTACCTTAACATCCCCAAACATAGTTTGCAGGTCATGTTGTTCCGTGTCAAGAGCAATATGATATAGGTGATCGACTTTCAACTGCAAGAGTTTGCTGTTTTTTATTGGGACTAGTCCGTGTCTGAAAAAAATAAGGTGAGTATTTATCATGTACTTTTTCAATATCATTTTTATTTTGTTTATTGTTCTTTATTATTGATAATAACAAATAGAAAAAAATGAAGCATTCCATAGGACTTTTATCTTTCTGTACATTTTCTGTCCCGCATTTAGTCTTATCATGCTTATTAAATAAGTCCTTCTGAGCGAAAGAAAGAGATCTAGGTGCACTAAAATGTATTCCTTAATATTTACAATTGAGAGCACAACCAATAAATGTGTAATGACATTAAAATAAAAAACCATGTTTGATATGCCAGCCTGCCTTATTAAATACAACCATCTTAATTCTATCTGAATTAATTTTTCGTGTTTTTCAACTAACAATCGGCATTCTCGTGGGAACCAACTGTGCTCCTCTTCTTGCCGACTTGTTTCTTTATTCATATGAGGCTGACTTCATAAGGAACTTCTTATGAAAAAAGAAAAGAAGTTAGCAGTATCATTTAACTTCGATTTCCGCAATAAAGATGATGTTCTCTCACTAAATAATTCAAAATTTGGTGACTATGTTGAACACATCTATCCCATCGAACTTGAGGTAAAGGATACAACAGATACAGTTAAGTCTGCCTCATATCTTGACTTACATCTAGAAATTGACAATGACAGTCGGTTGAAAACAAAACTTTACGACAAAAGAGATGATTTAAGCTTCCCAATTGTGAACTTTCGATTTCTATGTAGCTACATTCCAGCAGCGCCTGCATACGGAGTATATATCTCCAAGTTGATATGATATTCCAGGGCTTGTATTTCCTATCACTATTTCCTTGATAGAGGGTTGCTGCTCACAAGGAATTTTCTTGATAGAGGGTTGCTGCTCACAAGGAATCTATTAAACCAAGATTTCCAAGTGGTGAAGTTGAGATCATCCCTTCCTAAATTTTACGGACGCCATCACGAATTTGGTTGACAGTTATGGAACATCTGTTTCACAGATGACGACGGATTTGTTGTAATTGTCGTAACTACAACCCCGTCCCCTTTCCCCCGAATGTGACCTTTACTGAATAAGACTTATCACCGGGTTTGTACTAACATGAGCAACACGACGGTTGCCACATGTATAGAAGGATCTGCTTACCCTTCCGGAGCTCCTGGGATCATCCCGGTTTTTAGTGAGGTTCGTGTTGCTCAGTCTTTAGTTTTCTATGTTGTGTTTTGTGCACTATTGTTTGTATGTTGGTCTTTTTCTTTTTTAGCCATGGCGGTGTCAGTTTATTTTCGACTTATTATTTTGAAAGTCCCTTTGGTATCTTTCGCCTCTCTTTTTCAAACACCAATCTTTACTTTGAAGTACTCAATCGAAGTCTGCAGTCCTTTTACTGATGTCGCAAAGTGCCAATATCATCAGCATATAATATAAATAAAGGATAGGTCGTGAATTAACAACGACTGGATTAGGCGAATTTTTGAGACAATCAGGAAGGCCATTTATGAAAATTTTGAATAAAACGGCTCAAATTGCCTCCCTGCTTTACTCCTATTTTAGTTCTCAAAAGGTATTTCAATCTATTCTTTACTCGAACACAAGATTTACTCTGGGCATACATGTTCATAATGATATTGTGGAAGTTTGATCCTTTATGAGGCACCGTTTTACTATTTATTCCTTATTTTCTGATATCAAAAAATATTTCTTGATATAAAAAAAATTGAATTCCTGATATCAAAAATTGATTTTTTGATATAAAAAAATATTTCTTGATATCAGATCTCTCGGTCATAAAACTTTACTCAGTACTCGGAGTACAAAATTTGTGATCGAAACACCAAATCCAGGATTTTGATTGGTTGATTTCTGAGTCTGAGTACAAAAATCGTGCTCGAAAGTTTTATGACCGCAAGTCATATTTTTTTGATATCAAGAAATCCATTTTATGATATACAAATATCAAATAATACTGACGATTATTAGATATCAAGAAATACGTTTTCTGATTTCAAAAAAATTGATTTTTTTATATCAAAAATTCGAATTCCTGATATCAAGAAATGATTTTTTGATATCAGGAAATAAGAAAAATATCAATGATTGCTCCCTGTGTGTCAATAAAAGCATCCGAGCTCACCCATGAGCCCTAACATTCGCTCTGGTGTTTCGGTCGTGTTTAAGGAAAGCATATCTCAGAGTTCGGCTTCATCAGTCATAAGAAGTTTTGTGTGATTGTGTTTCTCACATATTAATTATTTTAAGGTTTATAGTCAACAATTGTAAGTTCCCGCTTCTTTTATAAACAATTATTGGTTTCCTCTGAAACAGATTTGTTCAGCCAGGTTTTTGTGAAATTAAGCCCCAGTGTTTTGGTAATCTTGTTTTAGTTTTTTCCCCGTTGTTTATGTTGCGAATTTAGTAAGTCAGTTAGTTCTGTTTAGTATAAAAATAAGGAGATGTGGTATGATTGCCAATAAGACAACTATCCACCAAAGTTCAAATGAAGTGGATGTAAGAAATTATAGGCAACCGTACGGCCTTAAAAGGCTCCGACATGAAAAATATGAAACAATTCAATTTAGAAAGCTAATGGCCTAATTTACAACAAAACATATTACGAAAAACAAATATAACAGACATGAACCAACGACAAATACTGAACTACAGGCTTTTGACTGGGACAGACACATAAAGAATGTGGAGGGATTAAACCCTAACCTCGGACACTGGTGTTACACCACAACATAGTGTAAGAACAAACTATAAACATCAGTTGAAAAGGGCTTTACTCATCAGATCGATACAGAGAAGAAAAACAGCTAAAAAAAAACACATACCGGACGCGGCAGGGTAACAACAACAAAAAGACACAAAGTACAGATGTGAGAGTACTCTCAGTTTCTGACAGCTAGTTCAAAGCCAATAACAAGAAATAAAAAAATTGCATGTCTTGTATTTTCAAATACTTCGTCTATTTCGTCTTTTTACGAGACGTTTTTTGAAAGACTGCTAGTATTTCTTATGTACAGCGCCTTGCATATATCCTTTAAATACATTTATTTTTTATGAGCTTATTCTGAAGTATTCAAAAATTTCAGTAGGCTTGATGTACGTTTTCATTTCTAAAATACCTTCATTTTGGAAGCGCTTGTCTTTGTATTAAAACGACTGTCAAGAAAATTACACTCCATTTTGAGAAAATTGGTATGTACAATTTAGGTGGGTATGCATTGTATTAGATATATAAGGCGAAAAGTCGTGTATTACGTCAGTTGAACCTGAATATATCATCCAGCCATCGATCTAAATCTTGAACACATCAGTATTTTGTTTCGATGTGTCAAGCTTTGTAAAACATTTTCCAGTATTTAGTAAATTCTTAGGTCGACTAATTCAGCCGATTGGGATTGTTCGACGCAAAAGTAAATATGTTATATTGTAGAATAATTTCAAAAATCTTCAACATATTGTCTTTTAGTGCATGGGACTCGAATTTCGTAATTAGTTGGATCGAGGTAATTCAGTACTCGTTCAGTTTCGTCAAACTGAAGATTAGTGTACATGTTTTTTGCTTCAAATATTGTTATAAATAGCAGTTTTCTGGAGACTTTGAAGTCTAAATCATGTCTATTAAACTTGAAGTGTATAAACATTTTGTTTTTGTAACAAGGGACCCTTTGCCATCAATATAATGACCAATATCGTGTAGCGGTACTCCACATTATAAAACAATTGGTCTACCGGAAACATTATTTCAGATATTTCCTGATGTTTGGACTCATGGGTGAGCTTGGATGCTTTTATTGACACACAGGGAACCATCATTCATTTATTTCTTATTTTCTAATGATTTTTTGATATCAGGAATTCGAATTTTTGAGTATCACAAAATAATTTTTTGATATCAGGAAATCTTTCTTGATCATGTTGATATCAAAACAAATAATTTTCTGATATCAAAAATTCGATATTTGATATTAAAAATTCGATTTCCTGATATCAAAAAATGAATTTTTGATATCAAAAGTTTGATATCAGAAAATATTCTTTATTTTTTTATATCAAGAAATCGATTTCCTGATATCAAAAAATTGAATTTTTGATATCAGAAAATCATTTTTTGATATCAGAAAATAAGGATTAAATAGTAAAACGGCGCCTCATAATCCTTTCCATATATTTAATCACTTGAGTGTTATCACAATCTAATTAAAATATAGATCTCGGATTTCGTTATACTACGTTATACTACATATGTATGTAGTATAACGTAGTATAACGAAATCCGATCTATATTTTAATTAGATTGGTGTTATCCCTGGATGAATGACAGTATCGAAATCCTTCTGAAAATCAACAAAGCAGGCAAAAAACTCTACTTTATGTGTTACAATACTTATCAATAATGGTCTTAAGAATGAACATACTGTCAGATGGTCGTGCTTTTTGGGTAAACCCTATTTGGCTATCATTAATGATATGATATTTATCTAAGATTTACAAAGAAGGTTCAAGCATCTTATCAAAAAGCTTCCCCAAGAAATCAGTAATTGTGATTCCTCGATAATCATTAGGATCAGCTGCAACATTCCCTTTATGAATTGGGAATAAATACACTGTTTCCAGGGTTCAGGGTATTTTCTAAAAGAAAGACAAAAATTAAGAACTTTGAGGATACATGGAAGTAAAGAGGTTTCCCCTTAGTTTAACATAGTATTAGAGATATCATCTAAGCCTGCTGCTTTATTAACCTTTATAGATGACAAAGCAGAAGATATTTCACTTTCAGAGATCCTAATGTCAAGTTCATTGAAGCATTTTCTTTTTTCAAAAATATTCAGCTTTTGCTATAAAAACAGAAGTCTTTCTTTCAATTCAGCTTTTGGTTTGGTTAAATTTTTTGAATGGTTTTAAAAATCTGAGAGAGAGAGAGAGAGAGAGAGAGAGAGAGATGCAAATATTTTCAAGGACTCTCTGCCCTCAGTCTTAGTGACTTTTTGAAAAAGGAGCCTATAATTTTTTGG